CCTGGCTGTACATCTGTAGTATTTATTAACTGAAAATATAGATTTGATAAACATTGTTGCAAATGTCTTGCAACATAAAAAGTTGCAGCTACCATCTTTTTCTTCTGTAGGTCCTCTGCTTTCAGACAATATTGTTGTGGGGGATTTAAGTAAAAAAATTAGCATTTTAGCTTGTGTGTGGGCAAAAGGGAAATAATAAAACAAACACCTGCTAATACCGACCTCCTTGTTGCAACATATTGTACAGCAAGGAAACACGATGGGAATTGTGGTTTTAATAAAACTGATTGTTTCATTTTTTTCCTCTTTTTGTTTTCTGTTTCCGCTTCGTTTTCCGCGTTGAAGTCGGTCCAAAAACCAAACAAACGGCACTTTATGTTGTTTAATTAGCTTTTAATTGCTTGTTAAACATTTGCAGTGCTGGAACATATTACTTTAAACCTGTAGTTCACTATCTCTGCCTCTCCTCCCGTAATTATAGCGCAAATAGACTTTTATTATATTTAATATAGTTAATTTATTCTTCTCCGGCTCATTGATTTCTGCTTTGTGCCTTTTTCCAACTTACGCCAACCATACCAATTGCTCGGCAGTGGCGAAGGAGGAACTGAGTATGTGTGCTTATTATCCATGCAGCGCCATCTTTCCATGCTGGAGTCATACTTGGACATACTTTAACCTGCTAGGTGTGGAGGACCTATGGGTCAGGCATGTCTTTATAACTGTCGTGTCTGGTACATTTATTTAAAGGTTTTTATTTAAAGTTTAGCATGGTCTAGTGGTTAGCGCTTCTGCCTTGCAGCACAGGGGGTCCCAGTTTGAATCCTGGTCAGGACACTATCTGCCTGGAGCATGCATGTTCTCCCTGTGCTTGTGTGGGTTTCCACAGGGTACAGGCAGTCCCCAAGTTACAAACATCCGACTTACATCCGACCCCTACTTACAAATGAAGGCTATTACTATACAGCAGTGGGTCCCAAGCTGCAGCCAAAGTGTACCGCACAGCATTTCAGCGCTTGTGCTGACGAGGAGTGCCCGCCTTTTTGGGTCTGGTTTGTAGTACTACACGTACATTACAGGAAGTTGGGTCTTGTTAGACCTGCAGACGAGGGGTGTCCGTCCGCCTCTTCTTCTGGGTCACTGTGAGGTTTTTACTGCTGTCTGTATCCTCATTAGGAAGATTTAATCTTACTTCCTGTCCTTGAGACAACAGGAAGCGAGAGGAAATCTACCCCAATGAAGGGAAATTCACTCCTGTAAGAGTTATCATGGGAAAAAAGGTGTCTCCACTGACGCTTTATCATCAATCCTTGTTTCCAAGACAACCCAAAATATTCAAAATCCAATTGTCACAGGGACAGAAAGTGAGGTGAAATCTTCTAAACTGGGGCACACACAGCAAAACAAATGTTATAGGGGGTAACCCTTCACTATGCTATCCAAAACTAAAAACAATTTTTGGGGGCTGGTGCTACACTTAATAAATGTACCTGTTCCAACTTACATACAAATTGAACTTAAGAACAAACCCTCAGTCCCTATCTTGTTTTTTACCCGGGGACTGCCTGTATTCCAAGTTCCTCCCACACTCCAAAGACATGCTGGAAGGTTAATTGGCTACCGTCTAAATCAGCCCTGTATGTATGCATGTGCAATAGGCACCTTAGTTGGTAAGCTCCTTGAGGACAGGGTCTGATGTGAATGTTCAGTGGGTAAAGCACTGCTTAAATTGTCGGCACGTTATAATTACTTGTAATAAATAATAATAAAAGTAATTGTCAATCTTTTTAGAGATTGAGCTAATACCTGGTGATCCCACCTTGAAGGTCCTTGTTACGGCTCTCTTCCTCTTATAGGGTGACAACTGTACATTGTGGAGCGATGCTTTGAGAAAAATGAGGCATGTCTGATTTTAGGTGTGTTTTGGTACGTTGGCAGCCCATTCTAATGAAAGGGATGTCTTGCAATTCATGTAATGTGCCAGGCCAGATAGATGTGAATGGGCCCTCACTGTTACGGTGCAGCTTATGTATCCAGTATGTACATTATTATATCCAGATTGCTTAATAGAGGCTGCTTGGATTGGCAGTTCAATAGAATGGTTTGCTTAAACAGCTGGCCGTAGGCATCAGAGGGTGGTTGAGGGTGCATGCTTGTGTCTCTGCTGTCCATCCTATAATCTTTTGGGGCCAAGGGATAGTGGCCCTGGGAGACCCTGTTGGCGCCTCTACCCAAGGGGAGCAATAGCATTATTATTTTGTTTGCCAGTGGGTTTGGTTGGTTGTTCATGCAAAGATTTGGTGGCCAGTGAATGTCTTTTTATCTTATTACATGACGGCAGGCCGCCATATCATTTCTGTAGACACCCTTATCCCCTATACTGTCAGGCTTGTTCCATATAGTACATTGTGACTGGGTCACATGCGGAATCTTCCTCTCCTGGTTGTAATTGTTTTTGCATTTGCCATGTAGGGGATTGTGAGCTTGTTAAACATCCCATTCCAAAACCATGGTCAGTAATATGAATACCCCTCCTCCCCTGACATACAGCTGTACTGGTCTCCTCTCTTCTGAAAAGTCTTTCCACGAGAGTTTGGACCGTGTGTGGAAATGTGTGCCCATTTTGTGAGGTCAGGTACCTGGAAGAAGACCTGGCTTGCAATTGGTATTCCAGTTGATCCAAATAGTATTCAGTGGGGTTAAAGTTAGGGCTCTGTGCAGGCCACTCAAGTTCCCTTACACCAAACTCTTGAGACCATGTATTTATGGGCCCAGCTTTGTGTACAGCATCTCCATCATGGTAGAACAGAAAAAGGCCTTCACCCAATCTTTCGTGATAAGGTTGGAAGCGCTCAATTGTCTAAAATGTCTTTGTATACTGTAGTATTAACAGTACTCTTCACTGGAAACACCTGAACTCAATAATTCGGGGTGGGGGGCTGGTGCCCACATATTTTTTTACCATTTAGTGTATATTTCTTTGTGTTGACTAGCCAGTTGTCTGAGGTGAGCATTTTCTACGATTATCTGTGCCATCCATAACAACCAATCAGAGTCTCCTGTTTGTTCTCTGGGTTTTGTATATTAATATGGGAGTGTGACTACGGAGAGCAGATAGTATGTAAGCCCATTGTTACCCCCAGACTACCTTCACAACTCCCATACTTTTGGTAAGACCCTTAAAGACACCAGATATTGTTAAACTCCTCTGTTTTGTCTTCTCAGAATGGCCATCCAGGTGGATAAATTTAACTTTGAGAACATTGTGGAGATGGTGGACGATGGCCTGAACTTCCCTAACCCGAAGGAAATAGAAGAGGAAAGACAGTTGGCAAAGGGTCAAGAAATCAACAGCAAGCTGGACATCTGCTGGAAGATTATATCCTTTTTCGTGTTCCTCAGCTGATCCATATTGTAACAGGTCAGTCCGTCTTATTCTGTCATACAAGGACCAAAAATTCCTCCCCCTGGAAGGATTTGGTAACTTTTTGGGCGTTCTTCATACTGGTGTTTTTTTCTTCCAAATTATAACTATCGCTGATCAGATAATATCAGAATTTTGTAAGAGTTCTGCAGATTTTTACCATTCATTTACCGAGCTCTGCCAACATGTACAGAAGTCTTTTCAGGGTTTCCTGAAATAATTTGTGGCTTCTAGGAAGTCCCAACTTTGAAGCCCTTCTCATGTTTAAAAATGCTTCAGGCCTTGTTCACACCAAGAGCGTTCCAGGAGCAGAGCAGTTACAGACCGGATCAAAACTGCGTCCAATGTATTCCAATGGTATTTTGGGCCCTAGTTCACACCGCAGCATTCAGTTCCAGAGCATGTAGAAAAACTGCAGCAAGCCCTATTTGACCTGTTCTGGAACATTCTCTGGAATGCATGCAAACGCATCAAAAACGCATGCAAACACACTGGAATACACTGAAAGCCCATTTTAAACTGAAATTTTGTTTTAAAAAAAAAACAAAAATGGCCCGGAACGCAGAAAAAACGCGGCAAAACACACTGCACTGCGTGTGCAGAAACTCATGCAGATCTGGTCTGCATTTGGTGTGAACAAGCCCTCAGACTCCCTGGACCCACTTATACTGACCTTTCAACATATGACAGAGAAACACGGCCATACTCCAAGACTTCAGCATTTGAATCCAACTTTATTGTACCAGACATTGTACATGCACAACACCAAGGTCCTTCATTCCTTTAGGGATGCACCAATACCAGTATCACTATATGTGCCAATACTGGGCATTTTCATGAGTACTTGTTAAAATACCCCAATATCCAAAACCGATATTGGCGCTTTAAATTTTTATATTGAAGTGGCTGCCGTAAGGTCCCGCACTTGCTAAGGACCTCGTGGCAGCCTTCTTGGGAACCAAACGGCATCTGTTTAAAGTGCCGGCCCACACATCTCCCCCTGAGACCTCTGGTCCTCTATAGCTAATGATATTATAACAATGCTATCAGCTACAGAGGACTACAAATCCCAACAATATATTATACAGCAATGCAGAGATCTCTAGTCCTCTATACCTGATGGTATTGTTCTGCATTGATGTATAATGTATTGCTGGGATTTGCAATCCTCTATAGCTGGACATATTCTACATTGCTGTATAATGTATTGCTGGGATTTGTATTCCTCGATGGCTGGTGGTATTCTTCATTGCTGTATAATGTATTGCTGGGATTTGTATTCCTCGATGGCTGGTGGTATTCTGTGTTGCTGTATAATGTATTGCTGGGGTTTGTATCCCTCTATAGCTGATGGTATTATTCTGCATTGCTGTATAATGTATTGCTGGGATTTGTATTCCTCGATGGCTGGTGGTATTCTTCATTGCTGTATAATATATTGCTAGGGTTTGTATTCCTCTATAGCTGATGGTATTATTCTGCATTGCTGTATAATGTATTGCTGGGATTTGTATTCCTTGATGGCTGATGATATTCTGCATTGCTGTATAATGTATTGCTGAGATTTGTTGTCTTTCTACAGCTTGGAGTCAGTGGCAGAACTACCAGTGTGCAGTAGTTGCAGCTGTGAACGGGCCCTGGCACTCCACCTCTGTCCTAAAATAATTAGTCTGTATTGTTATAGAAGAACTGTCACATGACACAAAAAAAAGTATCAGTAATTGGTATCACTGAGTACTTGAGGAAAAGTATTGGTGATTAGTCTGGGGAAAATGGCATTGGTGCATCCCTAATTATTATACTCCTCTGTGCTTGCTGGCAGTATTTACCGTATATAGCACCAACAGTTTGCCCAGCACTTTACAATATAAGGAGGACATTACTAATGCATGTTGCTCAGCCAGTGGGCTTAGTCATAGAGATTAATCCTTAGACCTTATACCAAGTGCCATAGGAGACATTGAATAGTCTTATAGTGGTGTCCATCCATGGCTGTTGACCACTTGTGCTTAACTTTTCCGCTTCCCCGCTGCTCTTTTGCTTCATCAGAGAACCTGTGAGATTCTTCCAGGTATGGGGGAGCATGTGACCTCCTCCCAGAATGCAGTTCTCAGGCTGTATTAGCCAGTGCGCATGCGCCAGCTGTCACAGCTTTTGCAATCCTCGTTGACTTCTTCCAGTTGCCGTAGGTGCGCCTCTGCGGCTTGGAATATGTAATTGAGTTCTTCAACTCCCATCGGTGCTTGTGGCGTCGGGTGCCCGCGCAGGTGCACTGCCGCAGATTGTAGAGCTTGATGCTTCTCTTTGGGGGGCTGCGCAGGCGCACTGGCGGAAGTTGAAGGTCTCGACGAGTTGTAGAATTCGATAGAACACCGGCTTCCCAGCCTATCAGCATGGAGCTGGCTATTCGGCCGGCTCGATGCTAATTGGCCGGGAAGCCGGCTTCCTGGCCAATCAGCATGGAGCCGGCTTTCGCCCCAATCAGGAAGCCGGGAGGCGGGTCATTACTTGCAGCCCAGCTTCCTGATCGCACAGAAGCCGGCTCCCTGTTTCCCTACCTCACTGCCTGTACCAGAAGTTCCAGTACCGGGGAAGGTATCGGAGCATCTTGGCGAGTAGGAGTACTCGACAAATACTTCCTGTCTACATGTAGTTGCTCCGGTATTGGCTGCATATCATTGCTCTGGACCGGCTTCCTACAGTGAACCGTGCCTGTACAATGTGCGTCCGTATGGACGCTTGTAGTCGCCATAAGGGCTTCCTATGACAGTGTGACAAAGCAGAAGCACAACTGGTAGACCGTTGTCACCCCTAACCCCTGTCATTCCTGAATACGCACCGTCATGGCAGGATCACCAGGTTTTATTTTAAGAAAAGCTGCAGATTTAAAAGGATTAAAAACAACTTTAAAAATCACAGTAACATGTCACAGCCGATATGAGATTTCTGTGATCGGATTTCAATGTCCTTTAAATACCCGTTTCTTTGTATTCCCTTCCTTGTGGTTTTTTCTTCCTCTTCGGAACAGCTTAAGCGTACTTGTAGCTCGCCCTGCGCTGCGTCTGCTGTGAAAAATACATATCTGCCGCATCAAGTGCCTTTATTACAAAACAACAGACTCTGAATTGCATCGGGACAGCCAAGTGTTGAAAGGCCATCTTCTCTATCGAGTGCTCTATTCACATTGTAATCAATTTAGTTTGCTGGGCTGGTCCTCACGGGGTTCCAGCGTCTGCACTGCTCTCCCTCTGCGCTTCCTTTGAGCATTTTAAAGCAGCAAAGGAAAAAAAACATTAAAAAAAATCTCCTTTTGGTTTACACTAATCAGATACAGGAAGCTTGTTCAATTCCCGCAGCGGTCCGATGGGCTGTTTCTGAGTACGAAGAGGACATTTTCCTTGCAATACATTTCCATATGTTTGACACTTTGGAGTTTGATTAACCTGTTTAAACTCCGACGAAGAGAAAAAGTTTTTACAGAAAGTGGAACTTTTTTTGTTGCAAATGCAGAGTCGGACTGTTTGACGCATTTGACGATTTAAAGCAGCGGTGCCCATTAGGTAGATCGTGATCTAACAGTAGCTCTCAAAGTTGATGCTGGTAGATCAGGAAGGGTGTGAATGGCGGCCCCTTTATTCCATTTTGGTATATTTATTTAGCTGTGCACACATGATTACCTATTAGCCTGAGACTGCTGAGCCAAGCTCCCTGACACCTTTCTGGTGGATACTGGTGGTTGAAGTGCTATGTATTACATCAAAGAATATTAGTTTACACAGCCTGTTGCCCTACACTGTTTGCAAAATACAGCAAGGTGAGCCAGGATAGAGAGCGGGGGGAGACAGCCAGGAGAGCAAGGAGAGACAGCCAGGAGAGAGAGAGCGAGGGAGAGGATTTTTTCGTTGGTAGATGTCATGTAGATCGTCATTTGAAAAGTAGATCTTAACACAAAAAATTGTGGGCACCCCTGCATTAAAGGATACATTTTCCCCCTCCCCCCAATGTTAATGTCAGCACTTACCTTAAATGATGTCTCTTAAGGTGCTCATACACCTTAAAACCATCGCAAGACTTTTGTACGGTTGTAAGCTAATTTAAAAGCTCGTACGACAGGCAGATCGTACTTGCGATCATCGCAAGCCCGCCCCCCTGAGGGGCGGGCTTTCCGATGACCGCAATACTGAACAGGCAGTGTGCGTGCGTGCACACCGGCCCGTTCCGCAGTTGTCGAACGAGCAGGCTTTTTCTAGCATGCAGGGTTTTCTATCATGCTTGTTCGACAAAAAACGGTCGCACGTCTGCCATACACTTTTGCGATTATCGTACGATCGCGGGATTTCCCGCGATTATCGTATGCTAATCGCAAGGTGCATGGGCACCATAAATCCGATCTTCTTTCCTGATGTTTTCATCTGTCCCTCCAGCGGTGCTGCGGGTCTCCGATCCAGCGCTGACTCCTCTGTGCTTGCTGGCACTTCTGAGCCCACGGTGTCTGCATGCGGGTGCACACGTCCATAGACTTACCTTGTGTCTCTCTTCGTCTCCCGGCCGAAAATGTGGTCTGCGCATGCGCCCGCCCCAAGATGCTTTGCGGCCGCTTGATAGCAGTAGATATAGGCAAAAAAACGGGAGGGTTTAGAACCCATTTAACGACTGGTAACCTCTGAAAATCAGCGGTTACCGGCATTACAGAGCCTTAAATAACTTGTCACGCACAGTGTACGTGGCCAGTCATATAGGCACTTTGTGACGGGACGTACAGTGTACATCTCCCGTCACGAAGGGGTTAAGGTAAGTGCTTTAATTCACATTGGGGGAGGGAAAAAAAATCTTTGACTTTAATGTCACTTTAATAAAAAGTTATTTACTTCTTGCACACACCATTGAGTGCTGGTGACTATTATGATGGACTGTATCTGACACGGCGCCATCTGTGTTGTCACTTCAAGCACCA